CTGCTTCCTACGCCGGTCTTTGTAGCACTGGGTGATCCCACTTTGGGACCAGTCACTGCTCGCTACACTACTACGATTCTGTGCCCGGCTGTTCCCTCCGGTTCTCTGACCGGCTTCCACGTCCCCTCGTTCTCGAGGAACTTGGTGGGCGTGAGGCCGCTCGTGAGTCAGCACGTGGGTGTGTGGATTGAGCCTTCTGGCGAGACCGCGGTTTGTGTCAACGGGGACACGTACGCGCCTCTCGCCACCTTTACCGCTGAGCCGGGCTCTGGTCTCTACACAATTCACATTGGCCCTCGAGGGCAGCAGCAGCAGCAGTAGCAGCAGCAGCAGCAGCAGCAGCAGTAGCGGCAGCAGCAGCGACAGCAGCAGCAGCTACTGCCCCTGACCCCTGTCACTGTCCCCCGTCAGGTTCCCGCGTCTCACCAGGTTGCCGCGTCTCCCCAGGTAGCTGTGTCTGGTCAGGTTCCAGTGTCTGGTCCAGTTGCTGCGTCGTGCTCCTGCCGGTCGCTTGCCCACCCCACTGTTTTGTGGCACCACCGGATGGGGCACCCGTCCATTTCTCGCCTGCGCGCTATGTCTAGTCAGCGTCTTGTCTTAGGCCTCCCGCATGTCTTGCTGTCGTTGCCGCCTTCGCTTGCGCCACCCTGCGGTCCCTGCGTCGAGGGTCGGCTGCGCGCCACCCCTCACTCCTCCTCCCTTCATCCGGCCACCGAGCCCTTCGAGACTCTCCACTTGGACGTCTGGGGCCCCGCCTCGCGCCCTGGCCCTGAGCAAGAGAGTTTCTTTCTCATGGTCATTGATGACTACTCCCGCTACACCACAGTGTTCCCCCTGGCGAAGAAGTCTGACGTGACTTCTACGCTGATCCGGTGGTTGCTTACCACTGCGGACACTCGTGGTCGTCGTGTCAGCTGTCTTCACTCCGACAGCGGGGGTGAGTTTCGCTCTGGCATTCTCGCTGGATTCTGTCGCGAGCAGGGCATCCGTCAGTCCTGGACGCTTCCAGAGTCCCCACAGCAGAATGGGGTTGCTGAGCGCCTCATAGGCTTGGTCATGGAGATCGCCCGCACCTCCATGACGCACGCCCGTGCCCCCCATTTTCTATGGCCCTACGCAGTTCGGTATGCCGCTCACCAGCTAAAACTTTGGCCACGTGTCGCTCGGCCAGAGGTTTTACCGACCAGTCTTTGGACCGGGTCCCCTGGTGTTGCGTCGCGTTTTCGTGTCTGGGGTTGCTTGGCACTTGTTCGCGACACCTCCACGAACAAGATCTTGCCTCGCGCTGTTTCCTACGTGTTCCTTGGTTTCCCTGAGGACTCGTCTGACTACACCTTTTACCACCGGTTCTTTGACTCTTGTGACGTCCGTTTCGACGAGTCCGTCCCCTACTACGTCAGGTACCCCTGTCGAGGTCTCCCGGTTCCTCTTGCCCCTCTCTTCCTGACTTCAGCTCCCCCTCTTGCTCCCTCGGTACAGCCTTCCCCCCCTGGTCCTGCCCCGTCAGGTGTGTCCCACGCTACCTCTCCCCCCTTGGTAGCCCCTCAGGTGCAGCCTCCTTCCCCGCAGTCCTCCTCCCAGCCTACAGCAGACCCTGTGGGAGCCGGTTTTCGTGGCGAGGACCCTGGAGGTGCTAGCTCTATAGGTGCTGGAGTTGGAGCAGAGAGCGTACCTGTGCGAGGTCCTGGTTCTGGGGGTGCTGGAGTTGGAGCTGAGCCGTGACTGCAGGAGACTCTAGTCTTCGGGGAGCTGGTGTTAGTGGAGCTATCCCTGGGGGTGCTACGACTGGGGGTGCGCCCTCTACTGGACCTGGAGAGCCTGGGACGGACCCTGTTACTTCTGGTGGTGCTGGCTCTGGGGGTGGTGCGACTGGTTCTTTGGAGAGCGGTCCTGGGGCTACCACTGCTCCAGACACTACTCCTCCCCCCCACCCCTACCCAACCCGGCACCAGGCCCGTGTTCGCCGTGCCCGTGAGGAGCAGCTGCAGTTGGAGCGAGAGGAGAGAGAGCTGGAGCGGCAGCAGCTGGAGCTACAGCGGCTGGAGCAGCAGCAGCTGGAGCAGGAGCAGCCGCAGCAGCGGCAGCAGCAGCAACAGCCACCTCCTCCTCCTCCTGTCTCTGGTCTTCGGACCCTTGGTCTCCCCTCTCCTTCTCCTCCCTCCCCCCCTCTCCTCCCGTCTCTAGTCCTCCGCTTCCTCCTCCTGACCCCTCCTCAGCTGTTTTCCCTCTTCCTCTACCCCCGTTGTCCCCTCCGCTTTCTCACACTTCGCCTTTTCGACGCTCTCCTCATGCTCGTCCCTCGTCCCCTGTTCCCTTCACTGACCTTCGTACTGCCCTGTTTCGTTCTAGTCCGCCTCGTTTGTCTCATTCTGTACTTCCTTCTCCTCCTGAATCGGCTCTCACTGCTTCCCTCTCTATTCCTGTCACAGACTACTACCGCACGTACCGTCCTGTTTTCTCTCGTGTTCTCGCCTCTCTTGTTACCGACCCACGTGCTTCTCTGTCCTCTGTCTCCGCTCTTACTGCCGCAGTCACTGATTTTGCCTCTACTCGCTGCCTTGACTACGCCACCAGTCTTGTGGCTGCTCCTCCTACCAGTCCTCTGGCCGTCGGGGGTGAGTCTGCCCTTGGCTGTGACGCCCTAGAGGACAGACAGTTTGAGCAGGAGTTCCTGGCAGCCTCTTCCCCTCATCTCTGTGCCATGCTGCTCATCCCTGAGGGAAACCCCGACGCCCTTGACATACCGACTCCTCGCACTTACGCTGAGGCAGTGTCAGGGCCTTGGGCCTCTCAGTGGAGAGCTGCCATGGACTCAAAGATGGCCTCCTACAGATCCACAGGCACCTACGTCGACGAGGTTCCCCCCCTTGGGGCGAACGTAGTCGATGGCATGTGGATCTTCAGGGTGAAGCGGCCACCGGGATCTCCTCCGGTCTTCAAGGCGCGCTATGTGGCCAGAGGTTTCAGTCAGCGCGAGGGAGTTGACTTCTTTCAGACCTTCGCGCCTACCCCGAAGATGACCACTCTTTGGGTGTTACTGCACGTAGCAGCACAGAGAGACTACGAATTACACTCTCTTGACTTCTCGACTGCTTTCCTTCAGGGTATCCTACACGAGGAGGTCTGGTTACGTCATCCCTCTGCCTTCACTGGCACTTTCCCTCCTGGGACCCAGTGGAGGCTTAGGCGACCGATCTACGGTCTCCGTCAGGCTCCTCGTGAGTGGCACGACACCCTTCGCTCTACCCTTTCTGACCTTGGTTTCCAGCCTTCTTCTGCCGACCAGTCGCTGTTCGTTTGTCGTGGCTCCACACCGTTCTTTGTAATGGTCTACGTCGACAACCTGGTTTTTGCCACTGCTGACAGGGTTGCTTTGGCTGACGTGAAGCTCGAACTGCAGAAGAGACACACTTGCACTGACCTTGGTGAGCTGCACCACTACCTTGGCCTGCAGATCACCAGGGACAGAGCTGCTTGCACCATTACACTCTCACAGTCACACATGGTGCAGCAGGTCCTTCAGCGGTTCGAGCTTCACCACTCTACTGTACAGCGCATACCTCTTGCCGTTGACCACAAACTCACCGGACCCTTTCCTGACGAGCTGTTCGAGTCTAGTGGTCCTTACGCAGAGCTTGTGGGCTGCCTCATGTACTTGATGACTTGTACTCGCCCGGACCTCGCCTTCCCTCTTAGCATCCTTGCTCGCTTTGTTGCGCCAGGGAAACACCGTCCAGTTCACTGGACAGCTGCTGTGAGGGTGGCGAAGTACCTAGCGACGACATCAGGCGTGGGGCTGGTTCTTGGAGGGAGACAGGACGTCGTGCTTACTGGTCACTGTGACTCTTCTTTCGCTGACGACGCCGAGACGCACAGGTCTACTCAGGGGTACTGTTTCAGCCTGGGCTCTGGAGCTGTTTCGTGGAGGTCCACACGTTCCTCCTCGGTCTTGACGTCTACTGCTGAGGCCGAGATCTACGCTGGAGCTATGGCTGCACAGGAGCTGCGCTGGCTGACGTTCTTGCTCACTGACCTTAGTGAGCGGCCGAGGTTGCGCCGACCTTGTTCACTGATAACAAGGCGACGATTCTCCTCTGTCGAGAGCCGCGACTGGAGAGCAGAGTGAAGCACATTAACGCCAGGTACTTTCTTCTACGAGAGTTGCAGAGGCGTGGACAGGCTCGTTTCGACTTTGTTGAGTCCGAGGCCAACACTGCATACATCTTCACCAAGGCCCTGCCGCCTTGTGACCACCAGAGGTGTTGTGTGCAGTTAGGTCTCGTTGACACAGGTTCTCGCCTTGCATAGTCTTCAGTTCTCGCTTTGTTTATACACTTTACTTATACCTCCGTGAACTCTTGAACTAGCCTTGTGGCTCTTTTGCTTGTGCTCGGAGTGTGTGGTGACGTTGTGATCCACCCAGAGCTTTGTTTCTTTGTGATTGGTCTTGTGACCATACACTTTTGGTTTTGCTTGACACCCCTCACTTAGACTCTGGGGGTGTGTCAAATGTTGTAGTCTTAGTGATGTGTGTTATAGGGGGTACAACTGTTAGGGTTAGGTTTATGTACCCCAACCAACCTTAGTGAAACCAACACTTTCATTCTTGACAAGGCCCTCAGATTGGTTTTGGGCTAGTCTGAAAATTCAGAGTTAGTACATGACTTAGCTCTGAAAGGGGCGCCAAGGGGTGCGATTCGGGCAGGACGGGGGGGGTGCGCTAGGGGCGCATTCTGGTGGCGTGCCACGGGCAGAAAAATGGGCAGAACGGAACTATCGGTGGGCTAAACAAGTGCTCCTACCGATGGACCTGCTCTGAATATCATGTCAGAAATAACGTGCACGAATGATTTGCTAGAAGCATGAGATGAGTACAAGTACTACGGTAGGTCTAACCCTAAAGTGTTGTACTCATAGAGGCTACCCCACTACAGCCTACAGATATACAAACACATTTGACAAACACAACACATGCAGAGGTGGTGCGGCAAAAGCCTAACCTAAGCAGCACGTTGAGAGGGAGGGACCACGGGGAAGAAAGGATTTACAGCGAACTTGAAAGACGCTGCCAGCAACGACCCTGCCCCAGCTCTGAGCCACAAAGATTGTTGTGGCGATGCTCGCACACACACGCGCAGAGGTGGTGTGGCAGCCTCAACACGCTTGAGAGTAACTTCAAACATACACCCACACACTCACACATGCAGAGGTGGCAGTGCTGAAGCCTAAGCACGCTTGAGAGTAACCACAAACATACACCACACGTGCAGAGGCTGCGTGGTGACTTTTGAGTCGACTCAGAAGTCACTACAAGCTTACACCCACACGTGCAGAGGCTGCGTCAACAATGCCTACGTGAGTGTGCTTGAGAGTGACCACGTGGAAGAAAGGATGAGCACTAAACTCAAACGAAGCCTTGAGCACCGACCCTGCCCCAGCCCTGTGTGCCACAAACAGCGCCGTGGCGTTGCTCGCACACAGGCGCTCAAGATGCTGCACCTCCCCCTCCACCGCCTCACTCACCCCTGCTGTGGCATTGCTCGCACACACACCCTCACACATGCAGAGGCGGCAGCACTGAAGCCTAAGCACGCTTAAGGGTGACCACTGGGAAGAAAGGATGAGCACTAAACTCAAACGAAGCCTTGAGCACCGACCCTGCCCCCGCCCTGTGTGCCACAAACAGCGCCGTGGCATTGCTCGCACACACACGCTCCAGCTGCTGCACCTCCCCCTCCACCGCCTCACTCGCTCCTGCTGTGCCTCCAGGTGCGGCTGTGGCTGCGAGCGCGTGGATGGTGGGCAGGTTGGTGGCAGTGGTGCGGAAGAAGTCGAGCGACATCTGGTAGAGCTCTGGGACCTGCAGCGCAGGAGGGGGGGGGGGGGAGGGGGAGGAGGGGCACAGGAAGAAGCTGGATGGTGGGGAGGTTGGTGGCGGTGGAGCGGAAGAAGTCGAGCGACATCTGGTAGAGCTCTGGTACCTGTGGGAGGGGAGGGGGAGTAGAAGGCACAGGAAGGTAAGGGATCCATGCAGCTTGGAGGTGGGGAGTGGATGGTGGGCAGGTGAGTGGGTTGGAGCAGAAGAGATAGAGCGACATCTGGTAGAGCTCTGATACCTGAAGGGGTGAGGGGGAGTCGAGGGTGAGGGGCACAGGAGGAAGCCAGCACAATGTCAGCTGTAACGAAAGGGATTTTTTTTTGTTGGTCGCTTTTGAAAACACTAAAAGCCGCCTATAAAAGAATTGTAAAAAACGGGGTGTAAGGGAAGGGCTTCGAGTCGCTTGAAGGAGGGGAGAGGTGCCAACGAATGCAAGGGAGGGACGAGTGGGAGAGCGGACACATGGGGAGGCCAGATGGGGGCACGGAGAGGGGAAGCGGGAGGCAGAGAGGGACGCACAGAGAGTCCGGCAGGGGAGACAAGACAGCACGTTGCGGCATGGGGGGGTAAGAGGCGGACGTTGGGAGTCGGAGCGGGAGGTACAGAGAGGCCAGCGGGGGAGACGGCACGCATGAGGTGGCGTAGGAGAGCGGCTCAGGCAGGTTGTAGGCAGGGAGGAGTGCCGAGCCAACGAATGTAAGGGGAGAGAACATGGGCGGGCAGGTGGGGGCATGTGGCAGTGGGGGACGTACAGAGAGGCCAGCGGGGGAGACGGCACGTTGGAAGGCGGCGTAGGAGAGCGGCTCGGGCAGCTGCACCCTCTTGAGCACTGCGAAGCGCTGCTGGTAGCGCTGCAGAACATGGCAGGGGAGGGAGGGGGGGGGCAGGGCGTTGTGGATTGTGAGGGGTGACGGGGAATGACAGGGGGTTTTGTGGATGGGACGAGGATAGTGGCTCTGGAAGCTGCACCCTCTTTAGCACTGCGAAGCGCTGCTGGTAGCGCTGCAGAACATGGAACAGAGGAAGGGGGGAGAGCCAAGGGGAGTGATTGGCATGAGGGGAAGAAATGGCAACTGCACCCGCTTGAGCACCGAGCAGCGCTCCTGGCTGCGCTGGTGGGTGGGCACAGGTTTGAGGAGGGAAGAGGGCAGAGGGAGGCTCAGGGCGGGCCTTGGGAACTGTGAACTGAAGGATAGTACATGGAATTGGTGAGGTGGGTGAGACAATGGAATGCAGACACGGCAACGTGGCAGAGGGGCTGATGCCCTGCCCATCCATCCAGCATCCAGCATCCACCCTCACGCCCCTCACTCCACTCGGCCCCCTTACTCCACTCATTCCCCTCACTTCCCTCCTCACGTCCCTCACGCCCCTCACTCCACTCGGCCCCCTTACTCCACTCATTCCCCTCACTTCCCTCCTCACGTCCCTCAAGCCCCTCACTCCACTCGGCCCCCTTACTCCACTCATTCCCCTCACTTCCCTCCTCACGTCCCTCACGCCCCTCACTCCACTCGGCCCCCTTACTCCACTCACTCCCCTCACTTCCCTCCTACGTCCCTCACGCGCCTCACGCCCCTCACTCCACTCGCTCCCCTCACTCCACTCACTCCACTCACTCCTCATGTCCCTCACGTGCGTCACGCCCCTCACTCCACTCGCTCCCCTCACTCCACTCATTCCCCTCACGCCCCTCCTCACGTCCCTCACGCGACTCACGCCCCTCATGTTCCAAGCATCCATGCATGCCCGTAAGAACACACCTGCCGGTCACTGTTGAATGGAGAGGGGCGCTGGGGCAGCTTGCCGTCTTCAACGAATGCAGCCAGCAGCTGTGGGTACGGTGAGAGAAGTGAGGTGGAGGGGATTGAGAACAATAAGGAGAGGTGAGTGGAAACGGGGGGGGATGAACAGAAAGGGGCGCTGCGGCAGCTTGCACTCCAGAACGAATGCAACTTTTGAGGCGCCTCGAAAGGGGCGCCAGGGCAACTTCCAGTCCAGAACGAATGCAGCGAGCAGCTGTGGGGTATGGTGCGGGGAGTGAGGTGTGGGGGGAGGAAGGTTTGAGAGCATTCAAGGGGGTGAGTGGGCAATGCGAAGAGGTAAGGGAGTGGGGCGCTGGTTCAGCTTTCCAGCGTCCAGAACGAATGCTGCCGGTAGCTGCGGGTGTGGTGCAGGGAGTGAGGTGGGGGAGTATCGAGAGCATTCAAGAGAGGTGAGCGGGCAATGGGAGAAGATGAAGGGAGAGTGCCGCTGCTGCAGCTTGCTGTTCAGAACGAATGCATATGCTGACAGCAGCTGTGGGTGTGGTGTGGGGAGAGTATTGCGAGAGGAGGATAGTGAAGGAGGATGGAGGAGGAAGGCAGAAGTGGGAGGCAGAGGGGAGATGGGAGTGCGGAGAGGGAAGTGGGGGAAATGGGAGTGCGGAACGGAGATTTCGAATTTGGAGAAGAGAAGGGGTTGAGTGGGCAATGTGAGGAACGAATGGAGGAGGATGGAAAGGGTGCGAGGAGGGAGGAAAAGGAGCAGAGAGGCGATGAAGGAGGGTGGGGGGCAGGGCAGGTGGGGCGGTGCGGGGAATGCTTGGGGCAACAAGCATGTTGAGTGAGGCACTGCAGCAATGCAGCAGCAGATGTTGAGGAAGGCGGATGGGAGGGGACGGAAGAAGAGTATGAAGGTTCGTATGGGTATGGGCAGGTAGGAGCAGGGACGAAGGGACATATGGGTAGGAGCAGGGACGAAGGGACATACGGGTAGGAGCAGGGACGAAGGGACATATGGGTAGGAGCAGGGACGAAGGGACATATGGGTAGGAGCAGGGACGAAGGGACATACGGGTAGGAGCAGGGACGAAGGGACATACTGGTAGGAGCAGGGACGAAGGGACATATGGGTAGGAGCAGGGACGAAGGGACATATGGGTAGGAGCAGGGACGAAGGGACATATGGGTAGGAGCAGGGACGAAGGGACATACGGGTAGGAGCAGGGACGAAGGGACATACGGGTAGGAGCAGGGACGAAGGGACATACGGGTAGGAGCAGGGACGAAGGGACATACGGGTAGGAGCAGGGACGAAGGGACATACGGGTAGGAGCAGGGACGAAGGGACATACGGGTAGGAGCAGGGACGAAGGGACATACGGGTAGGAGCAGGGACGAAGGGACATACGGGTAGGAGCAGGAAGGGACGTCTAGGTAGGCAGGCAGGCAGGCAGGCAGGCAGGCCAGGGACGAAGGGACATACGGGTAGGAGCAGGAAGGGACGTCTAGGTAGGTAGGCAGGCAGGCAGGCAGGCAGGCAGGCAGGGAAGGGGAAGGGCCAGGCAGGTGCACAGCACTCAGCATTGTCACCCATTTCAAGACCTCACCCACCGACACACTCTGACTCACCCGCACATATGCCTTGCAGAGCAGCTGGTATGCAGTTATCAGTGCCAGATCAAGGGAAGGCGGCGGGGGTGAGGGGGGAGGGACTGCTACTGGCTTGCGCCGAGCCTTGCGGGAGGAAGGGGCTGCCATGGGTTGAAGGTGCAAGGGGATGGAGAGGAGTCAGATGGGATGGGGGGTACGCAAGCAGTGAAGGGTTTGTGAGAATGCCATGCGGGATGGATGAATAGTGAACCACTCTAGTGTCCATAAATTTTGGGATCGATTAATTGAGGTGCCTAAAAAATATAACACTCTAGCGTCTGAAAACTGGGAGCGAATGGGTGTACATTGGGGAGAAAAAGAGAGGAAAATCGGTTGAGAGCTTGGCAGAATCGTATTCCCTCCCTCCTTCTAAGCACCACCACCACCATTGGGGTTCCAATAGCCCAATGGTAAGGCCGGAATTCAATAATGCTCTGAAGAAGCAGCCCCATTTGGGTGACCATAATCACCTTATGAGGCGCCTCACAGGTTTCCTAGAATGATCTCAAGAGCCAACCACATTCGGATGCCCATAATCAGCCAACTCCACCTTTGCGGACCAGATAATCTGCTCATCATTGCATCTCAGCCCCAAAGTAGGCTGAACCCCAGTCGGCAGTTGTACAGCCAAACAAAGTTTGGGTGCCTGATTCTAGAGCGGGCAGTTAACAGCTAAACAAAGCTTGAGCGCCCATTTCAAAAGTGGGCAGTTGTACAGCTACATGTGAAGGAAAAAGCATGGCGGAGGCACACCTGTGAAAGGCTTCTGCAAGGAAGCTTCCCGGGCAGACACGTTGTGGATGAGCGTGGCCAGCACACTGTCGAGGTACCTGCTCATGCATGCATGGATGATGAGGGGTACATGGAGGTGTAAACACGAGTACGCGTGCCGTGTGGCATGCCTTGGGCAGACATGGTGTGGTGGATGAGCGTCCAGATACCTATTACCGCATGCATGGATGGATGGATGGATGATGGGGTGGTTTTATGCCAAGGTGGTTTTATGCCAAGGGTTTTGAGATGTCTCAAGACACGTTGTGGATGAGCGTGGCCAGCACACTGTCCAGAGACCTGTTAGCGCATGCATGCATGGATGGCGGAGTGGTGGAATGTGAAGGAGAAAGCCAGGTTATTTTTGTCGACAGAGGCAGCTCGTATGGTTACTCCTGCTGCAAGTCGAGGGGTGTGTGTGGGTGAGGCGAGGCATGGCGTGTGGGTGCGATGGAAGGCATGGTGTGGCATGGTGTGACGTCGTGCGGCGTGGTGTGATGGACGCACCAGAAGGCAGAGAGGAACTCAGAGGGCGCATAGAGGCGCGTGGAGAAGCCGAGCAGCAGGTAGCGAATGACAATGCGACACGTGTACTCCACCACCCAGCTCGTTGCCACACTCTCCCTCCACCACCCCTGTTGGCAGCGCGGTGTTGAGAGGAAGGGAGGAAGGGTGCACAGAGGGAGGGGAAGGAAAAGGATGAATGGTGGGTGTGCGCCATACACGCCCGCGACACGTGTGCTCCACCACCCAGCTGGTCGCCACACTCTCCCTCCACCACCCCTGCTGTCAAGAGGTGGGGAGCGGAAGGGAGGGAGCGCACAGGGAGGAGAAGGAAAGGGAAGCGTCTTTCAAACCGCCCTTCACCACCCAGCTGGTGGCTACAATCTCCCTCCACCACCCCTGCTCGGAGCTCAGCATTGAGTACAGGGGAGGGGAGTTGGGGGGAAAGGGGGAAGAGGGGGGTGAGTGAAGAAGTTATTGCATTTCGAGACGTCTCAACTAGAAATTATTGCATTTCGAGATGTCTCAAAACTAGAAATTATTGCATTTCGCCGTCCTTCACACACATGCCCCGCCTTGCATGAATCGATGACCGAGCAACATGAGATGAGATGATGCTCGCGTGAATGGTGTGTGCCACCCAAGGCCCACACATCACATGGGAAATCAACATACTTGGAATTCACCTGCACAGAACCTCAAGAGACATCAACAGCCACACCACCTAAAAAATCACCTGCAAAAGCACTTGGGAAATCACCTGCAAAAGCACCTGGGAAATCACCTGAGCGAAATTGGCAGTGGTGTAGCGCTCCACGGCATCACATGCGTCCACGTCACCAGCCTAAAAGGGGCGACGGGAAAGAAAGGTGTTGAGGGGAATCGCGTTGAAACACACACGAATTTCTGCGCTTGCTTCCAAAACACCGCAAGGCACAGCGAGACGAGAGAGGGACAACACATGGCAGCAGATTTTTGAGTCGACTCAAAAATAGGCTCATCACACAGCGAGGCGAGAGACAGCACATGGCAGCAGAGAGACGGCATAAGGGAGGGAGAAAAGGGCCTGCAAGAAGGAGGAGCAGCAGGCAGAGCGGAGGTAGGGGGGGCGCACGAGCGAGAGGAGGTGGCTCCAGTCGGGCAGCAGCTTGGCCAGCATTCGCCTCTCCCGTGCTCCGTTGCTGCACTGCGCCTTCAGCACCGCCTGTACCGCCTGGTTGAGAGAGAGAGAGGGATGGGAGACAAAATGGGAGATAGGAGGGGACAAGGGGAGCGTGGGGATAATATGAAGATCTGGCCAGCATGCGCCTCTCCCTCGCCCCGTTGCTGCACTGCGCCCTTAGCACCGCCTGCACTGCCTGGTTGAAAGAGACACAGGGAGGGATGGTAGGCAAGCAGTTGGGATGGGAGGCAGCAGGATGGCAGGCAGATGGGATGAGAGAGCTGTCAGAATCCCAGTCACTAGACCACTGGGATAAAAGGGCTTGTTAAGTAGCGGGTTGGTGCGCCCACAAACCCCCAGGCTAGTGAGCCTGTAACCCTTCCCTAGGATCAATCAGGCATCCCATTGCTGGTCTTTTCGACGAGGGCGGGGGATTGGAGTCCGGCGGCATAGAGAGGAGGGGAGGAGGGTGAAGAATGGCGGCAAGGAAACAAAAGTGAGGTGCGTACATCAAATGAAAAGGGCAGAAGTCTAGATGTGACTGCCATCCTAAACAGCAGTGCAGCAGTTCAGCAGCACAGCATACCTGCATCCAACTCCAACCAGCACTGGCAGCCTACGTACATCCCCTTTCCACTCATGCCTTCCTCCTCTCCGCCTGCCCCTTCCCCGTCTGCCCCCTCCCACTCACATCTGCCCCCTCCCACTCACGTCTACCCCCTCTCACTCACGTCTGCTCCCTCCCACTCACATCTGCCCCCTCCCACTCACATCTGCCCCCTCCCACTCACATTTGCCCCCTCCCACTCACATCTGCCCCCTCCCCCTCACATTTGCCCCCTCCCACTCACATTTGCCCCCTCCCACTCACATCTGCCCCCTCCCCCTCACATCTGCCCCCTCCCACTCACATCTGCCCCCTCCCCCTCACATTTGCCCCCTCCCACTCACATTTGCCCCCTCCCACTCACATCTGCCTCCTCCCCCTCACATTTGCCCCCTCCCACTCACATTTGCCCCCTCCCACTCACATCTGCCTCCTCCCACTCACATTTGCCCCCTCCCACTCACATCTGCCCCCTCCCACTCACATCTGCCCCCTCCCACTCACATCTGCCCCCTCCCACTCACATCGCCCCCCCCACTCGCATCTGCTCCCTCCCACTCGCATCTGCCCCCTCCCACTCACATCTGCCCCCTCCCACTCACATCTGCCCCTCCCACTCACATCTGCCCCCTCCCCCTCACATTTGCCCCCTCCCCCTCACATTTGCCCCCTCCCACTCACATCTGCCCCCTCCCACTCACATCTGCCCCCTCCCCCTCACATCTGCCCCCTCCCACTCACATCTGCCCCCTCCCCCTCACATTTGCCCCCTCCCACTCACATTTGCCCCCTCCCACTCACATCTGCCTCCTCCCCCTCACATTTGCCCCCTCCCACTCACATCTGCCCCCTCCCACTCACATCTGCCTCCTCCCACTCACATTTGCCCCCTCCCACTCACATTTGCCCCCTCCCACTCACATTTGCCCCCTCCCACTCACATCTGCCCCCTCCCACTCACATCTGCCCCCTCCCACTCACATCTGCCCCCTCCCACTCACATCGCCCCCCCCCACTCGCATCTGCACCCTCCCACTCACATCTGCCCCCTCCCACTCACGTCTACCCCCTCCCACTCACGTCTGCTCCCTCCCACTCACATCTGCCCCCTCCCACTCACATCTGCCCCCTCCCACTCACATTTGCCCCCTCCCACTCACATCTGCCCCCTCCCCCTCACATTTGCCCCCTCCCACTCACATTTGCCCCCTCCCACTCACATCTGCCCCTCCCCCTCACATCTGCCCCCTCCCACTCACATCTGCCCCCTCCCCCTCACATTTGCCCCCTCCCACTCACATTTGCCCCCTCCCACTCACATCTGCCTCCTCCCCCTCACATTTGCCCCCTCCCACTCACATTTGCCCCCTCCCACTCACATCTGCCTCCTCCCACTCACATTTGCCCCCTCCCACTCACATTTGCCCCCTCCCACTCACATCTGCCCCCTCCCACTCACATCTGCCCCCTCCCACTCACATCTGCCCCCTCCCACTCACATCGCCCCCCCCCCACTCGCATCTGCTCCCTCCCACTCACATCTGCCCCCTCCCACTCACATCTGCCCCCTCCCACTCACATTTGCCCCCTCCCACTCACATCTGCCCCCTCCCCCTCACATTTGCCCCCTCCCACTCACATTTGCCCCCTCCCACTCACATCTGCCCCCTCCCCCTCACATCTGCCCCCTCCCACTCACATCTGCCCCCTCCCCCTCACATTTGCCCCCTCCCACTCACATTTGCCCCCTCCCACTCACATCTGCCTCCTCCCCCTCACATTTGCCCCCTCCCACTCACATTTGCCCCCTCCCACTCACATCTGCCTCCTCCCACTCACATTTGCCCCCTCCCACTCACATTTGCCCCCTCCCACTCACATTTGCCCCCTCCCACTCACATCTGCCCCCTCCCACTCACATCTGCCCCCTCCCACTCACATCTGCCCCCTCCCACTCACATCGCCCCCCCCCACTCGCATCTGCACCCTCCCACTCACATGTGATGCCTTCTTGACAAATTTCCCTAAAGCCGCACTGGAGCCCGCTTCCCCACCACCAACACCGCCACCACCTGCGGCAGCACCAGCAGCACCAGCACCACCTGCAGCAGCTCCTGCAGGCGGCAGCAGGGCGGGCGGCAGGTGCAGCGAATGCATAACTACGTCTGTAGGGTCGTGGCCGAGAATGAGCCCGTCTCGCAGCAACAGCAGCTGGTGGGGGGAGAGGGGAGTGGAGGGGTGAGAGGGGGGAATGGTGGGGAGGGGGAGGGAGGGGGAGGGGACGGGAGGAAATCCATAAGGTGCAGCGAGTGCGTGAGGACGGCTGTGGGGTCGTGCCCGAGAATGAGACCGTCTCGTAGCAACAGCAGCTGGCGGGGGGAGGGGGGGGGGATGAGGGAGTATTTGAGGGGAGGGGAGGGGAGGGGAGGGGAGGCGAGGGGATGGGAGAGGGAGAGTGTGAAGGCGCAGCGAGTGCATGACTATGTCTGTGGGGTCGTGGCCGAGAATGAGACCGTCTTGAAGTAGCAGCAGCTGGTGGGGGGAAGAGGAGGGGAGAGGGGCGCACGAGAGGTGGAGGGGGGAGAAAGGGGAAGGGCGCAAGAAGTAATGCAGTGTGCCGTACAGAGCACACACACCATCCTGCACTGCACATATGCAGCCATCACACAGAGCCATCACACGGCCCATGCAAAGGACACATATGCACCTGCACTACACGCATGCAGCCATCACACACACATACCTGCAGGGCAGCGCGGGCAACGGGGACAGGCTTGAGGGCGCGGAAGTGGGCGAGGAAGTGGGCGAGGAAGTGGGCGAGGAAGCGCAAGAGCTCCAGCAGATCGGGACACACAGCTCCATACAGAGTACATGTGCGGCCATCACACACCCACTTGTATACACACCCACTTGTATACACACATGCACACACACACACACACACACACACACACACACACACACACATGTGCGGCCATCACACTCATACCTGCAGGGCAGCTCGGGCGACGGGGCCGGGGTTGAGAGCGCGGAAGTGGGCGAGGAACAATGCCCATACAGAGCAGCATGGGTGCCAGCACACCTAGCCAGCACACCTAGCCAGCACACCTAGCCAGCACACCTGCACACCTAGCCAGCACACCTAGCCAGCACACCTAGCCAGCACACCTAGCCAGCACACCTAGCCAGCACACCTAGCCAGCACACCTAGCCAGCACACCTAGCCAGCACACCTAGCACACCTAGCCACACCTAGCCAGCACACCTAGCCAGCACACCTAGCCAGCACACCTAGCCAGCACACCTAGCCAGCACACCTGCACACCTAGCCAGCACACCTAGCCAGCACACCTAGCCAGCACACCTAGCCAGCACACCTAGCCAGCACACCTAGCCAGCACACCTGCACACCTGCACACCTGCACACCTGCACACCTGCACACCTGCACACCTGCACACCAGCACACCTGCACACCAGCACACCAGCACACCAGCACACCAGCACACCAGCACACCTGCACACCAGCACACCTGCACACCTGCACACCTGCACACCTGCACACCTGCACACCTGCACACCTGCACACCTGCACACCTGCACACCTGCCACACCTGCACACCAGCACACCAGCACACCAGCACACCAGCACACCAGCACACCAGCACACCTGCACACCAGCACACCTGCACACCAGCACACCTGCACACCTGCACACCAGCACACCTGCACACCAGCACACCAGCACACCAGCACACCAGCACACCAGCACACCAGCACACCTGCACACCAACACACCAGCACACCAGCACACCAGCACACCAGCACACCAGCACACCTGCACACCAGCACACCAGCACACCTGCACAGCAGCACACCAGCACACCTGCACACCTGCACACCAGCACACCTGCACACCAGCACACCAGCACACCAGCACACCAGCACACCTGCACACCAGCACACCTGCACACCTGCACACCAGCACACCTGCACACCAGCACACCTGCACACCAGCACACCAGCACACCAGCACACCAGCACACCAGCACACCAGCACCACAGCACACCTGCACACCAGCACACCTGCACACCAGCACACCAGCACACCAGCACACCAGCACACCAGCACACCAGCACACCAGCACACCAACACACCAGCACACCAGCACACCAGCACACCAGCACACCAGCACACCTGCACACCAGCACACCAGCACACCAGCACACCAGCACACCAGCACACCTGCACACCAACACACCTGCACACCTGCACACCAGCACACCAGCACACCAGCACACCTGCACACCTGCACACCAGCACACCAGCACACCAGCACACCAGCACACCAGCACACCTGCACACCAGCACACCAGCACACCAGCACACCAGCACACCTGCACACCAACACACCAGCACACCAGCACACCAGCACACCAGCACACCAGCACACCTGCACACCAGCACACCAGCACACCTGCACAGCAGCACACCAGCACACCTGCACACCTGCACACCAGCACACCTGCACACCAGCACACCAGCACACCAGCACACCAGCACACCTGCACACCAGCACACCTGCACACCTGCACACCAGCACACCTGCACACCAGCACACCTGCACACCAGCACACCAGCACACCAGCACACCAGCACACCAGCACACCAGCACCACAGCACACCTGCACACCAGCACACCTGCACACCAGCCACAACCAGCACACCAGCACACCAGCACACCAGCACACCAGCACACCAGCACACCAACACACCAGCACACCAGCACACCAGCACACCAGCACACCAGCACACCTGCACACCAGCACACCAGCACACCAGCACACCAGCACACCAGCACACCTGCACACCAACACACCTGCACACCTGCACACCAGCACACCAGCACACCAGCACACCTGCACACCAACACACCTGCACACCTGCACACCAGCACACCAGCACACCAGCACACCTGCACACCTGCACACCAGCACACCAGCACACCAGCACACCAGCACACCAGCACACCTGCACACCAGCACACCAGCACACCAGCACACCAGCACACCAGCACACCAGCACACCAGCACACCAGCACACCAACACACCAGCACACCAGCACACCAGCACACCAGCACACCAGCACACCAGCACACCAGCACACCAGCACACCAGCACCACAGCACACCGCACACCAGCACACCTGCACACCAGCACACCAGCACACCAGCACACCAGCACACCAGCACACCTGCACACCAGCACACCAGCACACCTGCACAGCAGCACACCAGCACACCTGCACACCTGCACACCAGCACACCTGCACACCAGCACACCAGCACACCAGCACACCTGCACACCAGCACACCTGCACACATGCACACCAGCACACCTGCACACCAGCACACCTGCACACCAGCACACCTGCACACCTGCACACCTGCACACCAGCACACCAGCACACCAGCACACCTGCACACCTGCACACCAGCACACCAGCACACCAGCACACCAGCACACCAGCACACCTGCACACCAGCACACCAGCACACCAGCACACCAGCACACCAGCACACCAGCACACCAGCACACCAGCACACCAACACACCAGCACACCAGCACACCAGCACACCAGCACACCAGCACACCAGCACACCAGCACACCAGCACACCAGCACACCAGCACCACAGCACACCTGCACACCAGCACACCTGCACACCAGCACACCAGCACACCAGCACACCAGCACACCAGCACACCTGCACACCAGCACACCAGCACACCTGCACAGCAGCACACCAGCACACCTGCACACCTGCACACCAGCACACCTGCACACCAGCACACCAGCACACCAGCACACCTGCACACCAGCACACCTGCACACCTGCACACCAGCACACCTGCACACCAGCACACCTGCACACCAGCACACCTGCACACCTGCACACCAGCACACCAGCACACCAGCACACCAGCACACCAGCACACCTGCACACCAGCACACCAGCACACCAGCACACCAGCACACCAGCACACCTGCACACCAACACACCAGCACACCAGCACACCAGCACACCAGCACACCAGCACACCTGCACACCAGCACACCAGCACACCTGCACAGCAGCACACCAGCACACCTGCACACCTGCACACCAGCACACCTGCACACCAGCACACCAGCACACCAGCACACCAGCACACCTGCACACCAGCACACCTGCACACCTGCACACCAGCACACCTGCACACCAGCACACCTGCACACCAGCACACCAGCACACCAGCACACCAGCACACCAGCACACCAGCACCACAGCACACCTGCACACCAGCACACCTGCACACCAGCACACCAGCACACCAGCACACCAGCACACCAGCACACCAGCACACCAGCACACCAGCACACCAACACACCAGCACACCAGCACACCAGCACACCAGCACACCAGCACACCTGCACACCAGCACACCAGCACACCTGCACACCAACACACCTGCACACCTGCACACCAGCACACCAGCACACCAGCACACCTGCACACCTGCACACCAGCACACCAGCACACCAGCACACCAGCACACCAGCACACCTGCACACCAGCACACCAGCACACCAGCACACCAGCACACCTGCACACCAGCACACCAGCACACCTGCACAGCAGCACACCAGCACACCTGCACACCTGCACACCAGCACACCAGCACACCTGCACAGCAGCACACCAGCACACCTGCACACCTGCACACCAGCACACCTGCACACCAGCACACCAGCACACCAGCACACCAGCACACCTGCACACCAGCACACCTGCACACCTGCACACCAGCACACCTGCACACCAGCACACCTGCACACCAGCACACCAGCACACCAGCACACCAGCACACCAGCACACCAGCACCACAGCACACCTGCACACCAGCACACCTGCACACCAGCACACCAGCACACCAGCACACCAGCACACCAGCACACCAGCACACCAGCACACCAGCACACCAACACACCAGCACACCAGCACACCAGCACACCAGCACACCAGCACACCTGCACACCAGCACACCAGCACACCAGCACACCAGCACACCAGCACACCTGCACACCAACACACCTGCACACCTGCACACCAGCACACCAGCACACCAGCACACCTGCACACCTGCACACCAGCACACCAGCACACCAGCACACCAGCACACCTGCACACCAGCACACCAGCACACCAGCACACCAGCACACCAACACACCTGCACACCTGCACACCAGCACACCAGCACACCTGCACACCAGCACACCAGCACACCAGCACACCAGCACACCAGCACACCAGCATACCTGCACACCAACACACCTGCACACCTGCACACCAGCACACCAGCACACCAGCACACCTGCACACCTGCACACCAGCACACCAGCACACCAGCACACCAGCACACCAGCACACCTGCACACCAGCACACCAGCACACCAGCACACCAGCACACCAGCACACCAGCACACCAACACACCAGCACACCAGCACACCAGCACACCAGCACACCAGCACACCAGCACACCAGCACACCAGCACACCAGCACCACAGCACACCTGCACACCAGCACACCTGCACACCAGCACACCAGCACACCAGCACACCAGCACACCAGCACACCTGCACACCAGCACACCAGCACACCAGCACACCAGCACACCAGCACACCTGCACACCAGCACACCAGCACACCAGCACACCAGCACACCAGCACACCAGCACACCAGCACACCAGCACACCAACACACCAGCACACCAGCACACCAGCACACCAGCACACCAGCACACCAGCACACCAGCACACCAGCACACCAGCACACCAGCACCACAAGCACACCTGCACACCAGCACACCTGCACACCAGCACACCAGCACACCAGCACACCAGCACACCAGCACACCTGCACACCAGCACACCAGCACACCTGCACAGCAGCACACCAGCACACCTGCACACCTGCACACCAGCACACCTGCACACCAGCACACCAGCACACCAGCACACCTGCACACCAGCACACCTGCACACCTGCACACCAGCACACCTGCACACCAGCACACCTGCACACCAGCACACCTGCACACCTGCACACCAGCACACCAGCACACAGCACACCAGCACACCTGCACACCAGCACACCAGCACACCAGCACACCAGCACACCAGCACACCTGCACACCAGCACACCAGCACACCAGCACACCAGCACACCTGCACACCAGCACACCAGCACACCTGCACAGCAGCACACCAGCACACCTGCACACCTGCACACCAGCACACCAGCACACCTGCACAGCAGCACACCAGCACACCTGCACACCTGCACACCAGCACACCTGCACACCAGCACACCAGCACACCAGCACACCTGCACACCAGCACACCTGCACACCTGCACACCAGCACACCAACACACCAGCACACCAGCACACCAGCACACCAGCACACCAGCACACCAGCACACCAGCACACCAGCACACCAGCACACCAGCACCACAGCACACCTGCACACCAGCACACCTGCACACCAGCACACCAGCACACCAGCACACCAGCACACCTGCACACCAGCACACCAGCACACCTGCACAGCAGCACACCAGCACACCTGCACACCTGCACACCAGCACACCTGCACACCAGCACACCAGCACACCAGCACACCTGCACACCAGCACACCTGCACACCTGCACACCAGCACACCTGCACACCAGCACACCTGCACACCAGCACACCTGCACACCTGCACACCAGCACACCAGCACACCAGCACACCTGCACACCAGCACACCAGCACACCAGCACACCAGCACACCAGCACACCTGCACACCAGCACACCAGCACACCAGCACACCAGCACACCTGCACACCAGCACACCAGCACACCTGCACAGCAGCACACCAGCACACCTGCACACCTGCACACCAGCACACCAGCACACCTGCACAGCAGCACACCAGCACACCTGCACACCTGCACACCAGCACACCTGCACACCAGCACACCAGCACACCAGCACACCAGCACACCTGCACACCAGCACACCTGCACACCTGCACACCAGCACACCTGCACACCAGCACACCTGCACACCAGCACACCAGCACACCAGCACACCAGCACACCAGCACACCAGCACCACAGCACACCTGCACACCAGCACACCTGCACACCAGCACACCAGCACACCAGCACACCAGCACACCAGCACACCAGCACACCAGCACACCAGCACACCAACACACCAGCACACCAGCACACCAGCACACCAGCACACCAGCACACCTGCACACCAGCACACCAGCACACCAGCACACCAGCACACCAGCACACCTGCACACCAACACACCTGCACACCTGCACACCAGCACACCAGCACACCAGCACACCTGCACACCTGCACACCAGCACACCAGCACACCAGCACACCAGCACACCAGCACACCTGCACACCAGCACACCAGCACACCAGCACACCAGCACACCAACACACCTGCACACCTGCACACCAGCACACCAGCACACCTGCACACCAGCACACCAGCACACCAGCACACCAGCACACCAGCACACCAGCACACCTGCACACCAACACACCTGCACACCTGCACACCAGCACACCAGCACACCAGCACACCTGCACACCTGCACACCAGCACACCAGCACACCAGCACACCAGCACACCAGCACACCTGCACACCAGCACACCAGCACACCAGCACACCAGCACACCAGCACACCAGCACACCAGCACACCAACACACCAGCACACCAGCACACCAGCACACCAGCACACCAGCACACCAGCACACCAGCACACCAGCACACCAGCACACCAGCACCACAGCACACCTGCACACCAGCACACCTGCACACCAGCACACCAGCACACCAGCACACCAGCACACCTGCACACCTGCACACCAGCACACCAGCACACCTGCACAGCAGCACACCAGCACACCTGCACACCTGCACACCAGCACACCTGCACACCAGCACACCAGCACACCAGCACACCTGCACACCAGCACACCTGCACACCTGCACACCAGCACACCTGCACACCAGCACACCTGCACACCAGCACACCTGCACACCTGCACACCTGCACACCAGCACACCAGCACACCAGCACACCTGCACACCTAGCACACCAGCACACCAGCACACCAGCACACCAGCACACCTGCACACCAGCACACCAGCACACCAGCACACCAGCACACCAGCACACCAGCACACCAGCACACCAGCACACCAACACACCAGCACACCAGCACACCAGCACACCAGCACACCAGCACACCAGCACACCAGCACACCAGCACACCAGCACACCAGCACCACAGCACACCTGCACACCAGCACACCTGCACACCAGCACACCAGCACACCAGCACACCAGCACACCAGCACACCTGCACACCAGCACACCAGCACACCTGCACAGCAGCACACCAGCACACCTGCACACCTGCACACCAGCACACCTGCACACCAGCACACCAGCACACCAGCACACCTGCACACCAGCACACCTGCACACCTGCACACCAGCACACCTGCACACCAGCACACCTGCACACCAGCACACCTGCACACCTGCACACCAGCACACCAGCACACCAGCACACCAGCACACCAGCACACCTGCACACCAGCACACCAACACACCAGCACACCAGCACACCAGCACACCAGCACACCAGCACACCAGCACACCAACACACCAGCACACCAGCACACCTGCACACCTGCACACCAGCACACCTGCACACCTGCACACCAGCACACCTGCACACCAGCACTCCAGCACACCAGCACACCAGCACACCAGCACACCAGCACACCAGCACACCAGCACACCAGCACACCTGCACACCTGCACACCAGCACACCAGCACACCTGCAAACCTGCACACCAGCACACCAGCACACCAGCACACCTGCACACCAGCACACCAGCACACCAGCACACCTGCACACCTGCACACCAGCACACCAGCACACCTGCACACCAGCACACCTGCACACCAGCACACCAGCACACCAGCACACCAGCACACCAGCACACCTGCACACCAGCACACCTGCACACCAGCACACCTGCACACCAGCACACCAGCACACCTGCACACCAGCACACCTGCACACCTGCACACCAGCACACCAACACACCAGCACACCAGCACACCAGCACACCAGCACACCAGCACACCAGCACACCTGCACACCAGCACACCAGCACACCTGCAAACCTGCACACCAGCACACCAGCACACCAGCACACCTGCACACCAGCACACCAGCACACCAGCACACCTGCACACCTGCACACCAGCACACCAGCACACCTGCACACCAGCACACCTGCACACCAGCACACCAGCACACCTGCACACCAGCACACCTGCACACCTGCACACCAGCACACCTGCACACCAGCACACCTGCACACCTGCACACCAGCACACCAGCACACCAGCACACCAGCACACCAGCACACCTGCATGCATCCAACCCACCTGCAGTGCTGCGCGGGCGACGGGGCCGGGGTTGAGGGCGCGGAAGTGGGCGAGGAAGCGCGAGAGCTCCAGCAGATCGGGGGGTGAGGTGGATGGCAGATGGCAGATGAAGGCGAAGTGGGTTAGCAGACGAGCGAAATGGTCCAACGCCTGGAGGGAAGGAAAGAAGGGGGGAAGGGGAGGGCAGGGGAGGGCAGGGGAGGGGAGGGGAGAGGAGGGGAGAGGAGGGGAGGGGAGAGGAGGGGAGGGGAGGGGAGGGTAGAGGAGGGGAGGGGAGGGGAGGGGAGGGGAGGTGAGGGGAGGGGAGGGGAGGGGAGGGGAGGGGAGAGGAGGGGAGGTGGCAGATGAAGGAGAGATGGGTCAAAAGGTACGAGAAATGGTCCAACGCCTGGAGGGGAGAGGGGGGGGGGAGGAGGGGGAGGCAGGAGAGGAGAAAGAGGGCGAATGGGGTGAGTGAGCAGAATTGAGGTGGAGGAGAAGCAGGTGGGTCAGCAGACGAACCACGTGGTCTACTGGTGGAGAGGGGGCGAGGTAGGGGTGGGGTGTGGGGTGGGTGGTGGTTTGAGAGGTGCAGAGCAGCAGACGAAGGAGGAGAGAATAAGGTAGGAGGAGGAGCAGTTAGGCTGGGTTGAGAGTGATGAGTACAAAATTAAGAGAGTTGCGTCTGGGAGTCATGGATAGAGAAAGGGTAAGTTACAAGAACCACCTCAGTGAGTGCAAGTGTGCTTTTGAGGCGCCTCTAACTACAGCTGCCTCACTTGCAGCAAACCCAGTAACCACTACCGTTACTGCCACGTCAGCAGCAGCCTCACCTCGTGCCACGTCAGCAGGTGCGTGGGACGGGGCGGCGTGGGCGGCAGCAGGTGGGTGTTGATGGCTGGACACATGCCCGGTGCTGCACTCCCCGACGCCGTCTGCTTCGTCCCACTCGCCCCCTCCGCCTGCTCCCCCTCTCCTTTCTCTCCCTCGTCTTTCCCCTCTCCTGCCTCTTCCCCCTCGCCCCCAGCAGGGGGGGCAGGCGGGGGAGGGGAGGTCTTGAGTTTGTGCAGCGCGGTCTGGGCGAGCTGTATTTTAAGAGCGCAGGCAGGCAGGTGGGCGGGCAGGCGGGCCGTTTGTAAGGCTGAGAGGGCGTCATAGAGAGCCTGGAAGTGGGGGTGGGGGGGTGCGTGAGAGGGATGGGGAGCGGTTGGGAGAGGGGTCATGAGATTGTGCAGAGCGGTTTGGGCGAGGTGGATCTTGAGCGCATAGGCAGGCAGGTGGGCTGTGTGTAGCGCTGAGAGGGCATCAAAGCGAGCCTGGAAGGGAGAGGTTGGGAACACCCCGGCAGGTGAAGGAGGTGGGGGGAGGAGAAGGGGTTGCAGAGCGGTGCAAAAGCGGCGGAGAGCGGTGGGGATGGGTAGGAATGAGTGGCAGACTGATGACAATGGGGCATTGGTATGGTGGCTGGCATACAAAACCAGCTCCCTGGTGGTTGAGAGAGCATGAGAACAGGATCGCAATGCAGAGCGGTGTGGAGAGCAGGGCACCCTGCATACGCCTTTTGCGGCGGAAGAGGAACCACATGGTGAGTTTGTGTTGGGTTTTGAACGCTGCCCTACCACCACATGCACACTACACGCTCGGGCATGATTTTCCAGGCAGAGTGCACAGAGAAAAACGACAGCAAAGCGATGTTGCATTGCACGAGCGCTGGTGGATACAGTTTTGAGACGGGCAGTTCTCAAAACTACGCTTACGCGAGCTTCTGGTGGCACAAGGGCAGAGCAGAGCAGAGCAGAATCATACGCAGTGAGAAGCGGAACAGAGCAGATCAGGGAGCAGCAAGCGGTACCAGTCGGAATTGCATGCGGGCCACGAGGGCGGTGAGGAGAGCAGGGGGCAGCCCAGACAGCACAGGGTCGCTCTGCTGCTGCTCCTTGCGCCCTGATGCTGATGCCTTCCCTGGTGGGCATGGGCATGGGCATGGGCATGGGCATGGGCATGGGTTGGAGTGAGGGGTTAGGCCTGTAGCATGCGGGCCACGAGGGCGGTGAGGAGAGCAGGGGGCAGCCCAGACAGCACAGGGTCGCTCTGCTGCTGCTTGCGCCCTGACTTTGCCTCCTTGCCTGGTGCGCATGGGTGTGTGGGGGTGTGGATGGGGGGTGGATGGGGGGTGTGTGGGATGGAGGGCATGGGGGCAGGGGGGGGCATGGGGGTGAGAAGGGCAGAGGTGACGACTGGGTGATATATGCCAATAGCACAAGGGAGGTATTGCAGGGAATTTTTTACATTTCTCAGAGATACCATGCGGGAATGGCGGGTGAACCAACAAGTGGTGGGGAAAGGGGCTTGCGTGGCACCTCTGTACACCAGAAATTTATACTCGTACTCATCCCCATACCACACCTCTCCTCTTCCCCACCTGCCCCCCTCCCCCATCTACCACCCCCTGCCCTCCCCCTTACACCTGTTACCCCTCCCAACCCCATCCCCACTTCCCCTGCCCCCCCCCCCTGTCCCCCACCCTACCTGCCCCTTGCCCCTCGGCCCCGCCAGCGGTGCTCTCAGCGGCGCCACTGCCGCTTCGCCCACTCGCTTGGTCCCCCTCCCACCCCAGTCCCCTCCCATCCCCACCCCACCTGCTCCTTGCTGCTCTCAGTGGCGCCACTGCCCTCCCCCACTCGCTTGTTCCCCCTCCCACCCCAGTCCCCTCCCCACCCCCATCCCACCTGCTCCTTGCCCCCCCAGCCCCGCCAGCAGCGCTCTCAGTGGCGCCACTGCCGCCTCGCCCCCTCGCCCATTCTCCCTACCATTCCCGTCCACTCCCCACATATACCGTCCGTTCCCTTGCCCCCCTCCTCCCCCACCTGCTTGCCCCTCCAACCCCGCCAGCAGCGCTCTCAGCGGCGCCACTGCCGCCTCGCCCACCTGCCCCTCCAGAGGTCTTTCAGGTGGGTGTGTGACCTCTTGTCTCACTCACCTTTTCCCTTCCGAGCGTCCCCTTCCCCTTCCCCCTGCAACCCTGCCAGCAGCGCTCTCAGCGGCGCCACTGCCGCCTCCCCCACTCGCCCCTCCAGAGGCAGACCCCCTGCTGACGTCACGAAGTCCTCCTCCTGCGAGAGGAGGGGGAAGGGATGGGGGAGGGAAGAGGTTGGGGGAGGGGGAGTAGGGGGGAGTAGGGGGGAGTAGGGGGGAGTTGGGGGGAGTAGGGGGGAGTGAAAAATACAGTTGTCCCTCCAGAGGCAGGCCCCTTACTGGGAGGGCAAGAAGAGGAGGGCGAGGGTAAAAGGGGGCTGAGGAAAGACTAGGAATGGGAGAAAAAGGGAGGCATGAGAGGAGAAGGAGGGCGAGAGAGGGATGGCGAGACGACATATTGCATCATAATGCCCCAGTGACGCAAAACTTAGGGAGAAGAGAGGCCATGCGAAGAGAGGCCATGGGAAGAGAGGCCATGAGAAGAGAGGCCATGCGAAGAGAGGTCATGAGAAGAGAGGCCATGAGAAGAGAGGCCATGAGAAGAGAGGCCATGAGAAGAGAGGCCATGAGAAGAGAGGCCATGAGAAGAGAGGCCATGAGAAGAGAGGACATGAGAAGAGAGGCCATGAGAAGAGAGGCCATGAGAAGAGAGGCCATGAGAAGAGAGGCCATGAGAAGAGAGGCCATGAGAAGAGAGGCCATGAGAAGAGAGGCCATGAGAAGAGGGGCCATGAGAAGAGAGGCCATGAGAAGAGAGGCCATGAGAAGAGAGGCCATGAGAGGAGAGGCCATGAGAAGAGAGCCATGAGAAGAGGCAGTAAGTTGCGAACAGAGAGGAGGGGAGACGAGAGGACAGATAATGAACGCAAGGCCCTTAACTACGTCCAGAAAGGGCAAAAGATGGATGGACGGATCATGCAGTGCCATCATGCAGTGCCATCATGCAGTGCCATCACTCCTCTCACCTCGCGTTGGTGCGTCCAGCAGGCGGCAGAGCGCACGCTGTTGACACAGGCGACGACAGCAGACAGCATCGCCAGCAGCACACACAGAGGCATACTGCAAGGGCAGTGAGCAACTCACCTCCCGTTGGTGCGTCCAGCAGGCGGCAGATCGCACGCTGTTGACACAGGCGAGAGTGGCTGACAGCAGCGCCAGCAGCAGCGGTGAGGAGGAGAGGGATGGGGAGGGGGAGGGCGTGCCGGCAGAGAGGGGGCCGAGCGGGGGCAGCAGCAGGTAGGCACAGGTAAAGACAGTTTGCGGCAAGCTGTGGCTGCTGTGCCATGTGGCCTGGGGAGGGAAAGGGGGAGTTGGGGGAAAAAAAGGGGCGTGAGGGGGAAGGATGAGGAAGTGGGGAGTGGGATGTACAGGGCACGCATGGAGTGGAGTGACAGCAGCAGGTAGAGGGGGACGGATGAGGCAGAGGGGAGTGGGGGCGAGCCGGGGGCGCATGGAGTGAGGCCGAGAGGAACTGAAAGGCCACATGATGGGTGTGGCGGGGATTGGAAGAAGGAAGCGGGGAAGGAGAGGGGGCGAGGGGGCGCCAGCAGCACAGCAGTTTGCAGGGCAGCAGTACAGTTGCAAGCAGAGCACCTCACCACACAGCACCATGCCTCAGCACACAGCACCATGCCTCACCACACAGCACCATGCCTCAGCACACAGCACCCCACCTCAGCACACAGCACCCCACCTCAGCACACAGCACCCCACCTCAGCACACAGCAACCCACCTCAGCACACAGCACCCCACCTCAGCACACAGCAACCCACCTCAGCACACAGCACCCCACCTCAGCACACAGCAACCCACCTCAGCACACAGCAACCCACCTCAGCACACAGCAACCCACCTCAGCACACAGCAACCCACCTCAGCACACAGCAACCCACCTCAGCACACAGCAACCCACCTCAGCACACAGCAACCCACCTCAGCACACAGCAGCGCGCCACATCGGTCCCCAATGCGGTCAGCTGGCAGAGGACGCGAAGGGGGAGAGGGGTACCAGCACAGCAGCGCACCTCACCACACACCAGCACACCTGACCGCACAGAAGCACACCTCACCACACAGCAGCGCGTCACACAAGTCCATAATGCAGTGGGCTGGCAGTGGACGGGAGAGGGGAGGAGGTAACAAGCGCAGCAGCGCACCTCACCTCACCAATCAATAGCGCACCTCACCGCACGTCACCGCACCTCAGCGCACAGCAGCCCGTCACAGAGGTCCACAATGCGGTCAGCTGGCAGAGGCAGAGGCAGCAGCCCTCTCTCCACCGCCTCCCCCACACTCTCCACCTCCCCTCTCGCCCCGCCTTCACCCCCCCCTTTCCCCCCACTTCCCCCCTCGCTTTCCCCCTTGCCTCCCCCCATGCCGGCGTCCATCTTGGGGTCCATCATCTGGGGGAAAAAGGGGGGAAAGAGGGGAGGGGAGAGGGGAGGGGACAGGTACGGGGAAGCGGGCAGGGGGGACGCGGGCAGGGGGGAAGCAGGCAGGGGGGAAGCGGGCAGGGGGGACGGGGCTTTGAGCCGTCTCAGAACCACGCCCGGATCCATCTTTGGGTGCATCATTTGGGCGGGGGGAGGGGGGGAGAGGGGGGGAGGGAGAGAGTTGAGGAGCGAGCAAGGGCAGGGCGATGGGAGACACGCAGACGACGGTATGTGTGGGACATGTGAGGGCGTGGGAAGAGGGGAGGTGAGTGGGTGTACCTGGAGGTGGGTGTACCTGGAGGGCGGCCATGGCTTCGAAGAGACTGAAGGAGTCGCCATGCAGCAACTCGCCTGACTGCAGCTCTGATGGCCGGTGGGGGGAGAGGGGAGGAGGAGAGGAGGAGAGGAGAGGAACGGGTGGGAGGGAAGGGAGGGGAGGGGGGATGAGATGCGGTGTGAGTCAGCAAGAATAAGAGACTGAAGGATTCGCCATGCAGCAACTCGCCTGACTGCAGCTCTGACGGTGTGGGAGGGAAGGGAGGGGAGGGGAGGGGAGACGGGGCGAGGAGGGCATAGAGGATGAGGATGACTGTTGAGTCGACTCACAGGCTGTGCAACCACTCCCCTGACTCCAGCTCTCTTGGCGACGAGAGGGGGAGGGGGGGGAGGGAGATGGGAGAAGGGAGAGGGGAGGATGGAGGAAAGAGAGGGGGAAGATGAGAGGAGGGGGCGAGGTGGGGGGGGGGGGGGAAGTGGAGGGGAGTGGGGGAGGGACGGGACGGAAGGGAAGGGGGATGGCATGGGATGAGGTGCGACTACGCAAGCACAAAATGCGGAGAGTGAGATGAGATAGAGACACAACGCCATGCGATGGGGAAACGGCATGTAAGCTAAGCAGCGTGATGGCACGGCATTGTTGGAAGAAAACACTGGGACGGCTACAGGTGACCACCGCCGTGCTACAGGTGCCGTCCTGGGTAGGTATGGGTGCGCCCACCCACCAACCCACCACACAAAAACTTCCTTCAGAGAATGCCCTTTTGTCCCACACCACTTGCTTGTCCCTGCAGGTGCCCCACTAGATCCAGAGAGCCGTCTCTGCGGGCACGCGGGTCAGAACCCCTGGCCGTGCCGCCTCGCCTCGTCCACCGGGCTGTAGCCGCAATTCAGGGCTCGCCCGCGCGGGGATTGCCCGCGCAGGGCTAATGCGCGCAGGGCTAATCCTCGCAGGGCTAATCCGCGCAAGGCCCATCCGCGCAATGCCCACGCGCACTGCGATCAAGATCTCACCGGCGCAAGCAGCGGCGAGCGCCGCATCGGCGTCGCGCCACACCGTCTGATCGCCCGCCCGCTCCGCTCCCAGTAGGCGCGCGACGTCGTCCAACGCCATGGCGACCGAGGTCTGCGACGGGCGTCGCACGAAACGGCTGCGCGACTACCTCAGTAAGCTACGAGCGACGAGCGACGAGCAACGAGAGACGACGAGGGACCAGCGACAAGCGACAAGAGTGATGTTGGAGAGCGGTGCGGTGCCGGTGGGCAGGACGCACGCGATATGGCTCGCGTCTTCACCTTACGTCGCGACTCGGCACGCGTTTCAGCCGTGCGACGCGATCGCGCTGGGGAGGATTCGGCGTTGGTCAGGCAAGGGCGTTGGTCAGGTAACGGATGGGGAAGGAATGGAGCCTCTACAATGAATGATGATCTGATCTACAGCAAACTGAATGCTGCACTATTGCGATTCGCCAAAACTGGAATGCAGTCAACACAACATTTTCAGAACGAAATGAACCGAGATACATCGCAGAAAAGGAGTGTATACGCGCAGTGTGCGGCATTCTGCGTTTTGTTGTATAAAATATGCCATGTAATATGTATATTACATGTGGTGCATCTCTCGTTTGTATCAGAGGTGAAACGCGAGAGGTTCGAGCTGGACCCAGTTATTACGAGAGTCAGACGCTGGAATCTCGACTTCTGCCCTCAAAAGACGGAGGTGCTCTCCTGGCGGAGGTGGAGGTTATCAACTGGACCCAGTTGCTACGCAACCCAAAAACTTCCCTCGATCGCAATCCGCATCTCTCTTTCCCCATCCCCACCCCAACCACAGACATCCATTTTTCCCTATGTGTTGCCCCACTCACGAAGAAGCACAAGAGTAAAAGAACCCAAATGCAACACACATAGAACCCCCCCTCAAGATACCCAATCAAAACGCCGAGTCAAGACACCCCATCAAGACATCCCATCCCACACCCCAACCCCCCCCCCCCCCCCCCCCTTCAATCACAACAGCGTATCGACCATGTACGGGGCCTCTACCCAGAGAGCCCCGCCTTCCACATCGACATCGTCCCTCTCCCGGTCCACCAAATCTACGTTAATCCCCCCCATGGAAGACGCCGCTCGAAGCAGGATGACACGGGCTTGCGCACGTTGTAACGCCACCCCGATGAGCGCCTTCAGTGACCCTAAAAGATAAGCCGAAAACACAGAGTCGTCCTCTCGACAAGGCCCCCGCGACACAGCTAGCCCCACGTGCGCATCCCCCTGCTGACGAAGCCACCGCTGAAAACGACCGCCGAGACACCCCCACGTCTCAAGTATCAAAGGGGTGAATTGCACGCCCCGGTTGCGTGCAAGCAGAGGCGCGTAATCACTCGTTTTGCGACGCTCCCACTCCCTTGCCGCCACACCTATTTGACGCCCGCACTGTCCCAGCAGTGATGGAGACAGCGATAGCGGGTCCGCGACGCTGATCTCTAGGGCGTGAGCCTCTCCAGCCATTGGTCGTCGCACCGCCACATCAACCCGCTTCCCCTGCAGCACCACACTATCCTCCATTGTCACCACCCCCCCCCCGACGCCTTAGAGATCTTCGCCACCGCAAACTTCACCTCATCATGCACCCGAGATGGACCATGCTGGTGCTTGCATCTCAGGGCATGGTGTGGGTCTGCTGGGTCAACATACGCTGTGCCACAAACACACCTCCCCGCCACCTGCAGCTGCTGAATTGGGAGGCCAAGCCGTATAGCAGCAGCGATGCCCCACTCAGCCGCAGTGAATGTGAGATCTGAGTGAGCCGGAACCGCCGAAACCCATGCACCCGCCCCCGGGCCCTGAAGGGATGTGAAACGGGCCAAGGTAGCATCGTCACGAGCCAAGCGGCGTAGTGCCTGGAGCTCCTCTACAGCTACCGTCATCACCCGGGTCTGCCGCAAATGATCCCCGGTACCAAGCGGGACCACTTTTGGAAGTGATCCCTCTAAAATGGTGCCCCCTTGCATTCGCTGGTCCATTTCCTTGTAAATGGACCAGCGCGCAATGTAACACCCCCTGATCAGCGTGGAAAACCATGCGACTGGAAGTTGAAGCAAGCGCGGTCCAAATCTACGTAAATGCCGAAATCCAGAAAATAGTAGCAAAACAACCACTCTTCATGCAATTTTCTTGAACGGGACTATAAGTGTAACGCGCGACCTACCTAAGCACCTAATGAGACTCTCGTAGTCAATGTCGAGAAGTTTTTCGACGAGAAATTGAACTACGAGAGATGGGAAGGATGAGTTGGAGAGGAAAGCTGGTTTGGTTTTCCCAACCCTCAACCTTGAGGCTTGGAAAACTTCCAACCCATCAAAGTGAAGATTGGAAAGGTTGGATTTCCAACCAATCAAATTATGCCAGTTGTTGTTACAATCCAACCAAACACAAAACAACCATACAACACAATTAAGTTGGGTTTTCCCAACCAAACAAAGATGCCACCTAGGCTCCAAGCCTATTAGCTCCCCAACCATGGAAGCCATGGTTGGGAAGAGCCCCAAGGGGTATGATGGAAGGGGTTGGAGCTTTCAAGCTCATTCCCACTTCCCAACTCCAACAATCTAACTTGGAAATGGGATTTCTCTAAGTCATTTTGGGTTCTCCTAACAAGCTCTCCTACACAACTAGACTTGTGATTTTTCAAGGACAAGTTCTACAAGAAGCTCCTACCTACTTGTTAAAGCTTCATCAACCTTCTTCAAGCTCCCTTTCTCCTCTCAAGCTTGAAGAATACTATCAAGGCTAGATTATCCCTTGGTGGGATTAGTTAAACTTGGAAGCCTTGTATCTTGATTTTTATAAATATTGTCAAGGGTGATTTATATTTAACACACGGTTGCCCGTTGTTATAAGGGCCGTGGTTGTTACAATAAGTATCGCGTTTTGTCTGGGGTTTGAAGGTTTTCGCACATAGTCCGCGCGCGGCGATGTTGATCCGTCGGACTAAAAACGAGAACACCTGTACTAAAGTTCTGTGAGGTTGTTAGTCCTCGATGTGAAGGCTCAAGCTTGACATCTCGTTAGCCTTCATGATCTTTAGTATATATCGAACGGGAACGATCACTCGTCGGGCCGCTAGACTTTCTGTCCGTTAGGTAGTCTTCTTAGCCGAACCGCGAAAATACTGCGCACCGTTTTCGCACTAGACGATGCGACGCTTCGAGAAAGCGTCGCATTGTCTAATAACCACGTATCCGCGTCACCTGAACCCGGAAACCGCGAGACACGCAGAGCACGGACCAACACCTCCAGGCGAAATGCCTGTCGCGGGTACTCCTGCTGCGAAAATTTTAGCCGCGGAAACTTCTGCTCCGGGCCAGCCGCGGATACTCCTGCGCGGAAACGGCAACAGCGGAAACCATAGCAGTAGCAGCGGAGGCTGCGCAAGCCGTGGAGTTGAGCGAATCTTACCACGCGACGGAATCTGGCGGTGGCCCCCCGCAATTAGCCGAAGCGGTGACTCCGCCACCCGCGGTAACATTGGCGGAAGCATTGGCGGAAGCATCGTTGGAAGCATCCGGGACTGAGAAACCGCCGGAGACTGACAGAAGTCAAGGTCAACGTAGTAGTATCAGTGACCTTGGCGATAAAGATCATGCTGGTAACCCTGACGATGAGGGTAGTAGCCCTGGCGGCGATCAAGGTTTCGGTCTATCTCAGCTGTTACCACTGCCCTTAGTACAAGTAGTAACGCCGCGATTCTCGCTGGTTGGTAGACGCTGCAGGGCAGCTGCTGTTTTTTGCGAGCCGCAGCATTGTCGATTGAGGTGGTTATAGACCTATTGGATCGCGGCGTGAGCCCGGATTTGGCGGACTACGATGGGCGAGCCGCTATGCATCTGGCGGGTGCTGCCGGAGCGAGGCGCGGATGTGAATCTGAAAGACAGGCTGAGACACGGCAACACGGTGAGACGGGGTGCAGCACGGCTGAGACCCCCTACATGGCATGACAGCCGCAGGGCAGCACGGCGATAGTGGGTTCATGAGAAGGCGGTGAGAGGCGCATGAGGGCATTGCTTCTGGCAGTGTGGGCTCGTTTTGTCCGCTACCACTGTGACTTCCCATGGGGACGACCTCGTGTGATGAGTCCATGTTCGAGTCGACTCAAAAATCGTTTTGTCCCCTACGACTGTGACTTCCCATCGGGACTTCAACTCTTCGCTTGGTTAATCACATTGAATTGTCGTGACAACCACATTGTTACCTGGTTTTGTGACTCTGGCAAGGCATGGCATGGCATGAGATGGCATGGGATGGGATGGCATGGCATGGCATGGCATGGCATGGCATGGCATGGCATGGCATGGGATGGCATGGCATGGCATGGCATGGCATGGCATGGCATGGCATGGGATGGCATAGCATGGCATGGCACGGCATGGGATGGGATGGCAAGAAACTACATGGCATGGCAAGGCAAGGGAAGGCATGGGATGGCATGGGATGGCATGGCATGGGATGGCATGGGTTGGCACGGGATGGCATGGATTGACATGGCATGGCATGACATGGCATGGCATGGCATGGCATGGGCCGCTTGACATGGGCCATTGCCCTCCCTCTCCCCCTCCTGGCAGCCCCTGGCGGACGCGCAGTGGTACGGATCCGCGGAGATCTGCCGCCTGCTCCAGGAGAAAGGAGAAGGCCGGCATGCGCTGTGAGGTGCGCGGAGTCCGTGGGGAGGCGGGGGAATGTAGAGGAGAGGGATTTCGCGGGGAGAGAGGGGGCCGGGGGATGGGAGTGTAGAGGGAAAGGAGTCGGGGTGGAGAGAGGGGGAAAGGAAATGGAGGAAAGAGGGTGTCTGGCAAAGGGTGCCACCACCCTATTTGTTAGCTTTGATGGTGTTGTACCTGTTTGGTTTCGGCCCGTTTGTTCTTTCCTATATCTTGTGCCTTTCACCCTATTGAAACACCTTCCTTCTAAAACCTCTCGCCATGCTTCTCGGCTCGCGATTCCTAAGACTCCTACCCGACTTTCCTTGCCTATCAACTATTCGACACTCTCTCCCCCTCACCCCCACTCTCTCCCCCTCACCCCCACTCTCTTCCTCCCCCCCCCCCCCCT